TCAACCAGTGGGGAACAGCACGTTTTCACTATTGATAACAATATAGTTTTTTATTTAATCAGCACTTTCATGATATTTTCCAGTGAGCTAGGCACTGTCTGAAATTATTTATATATATAATTATATATATAATGAGAATTATACGATCATATACATATATATATGGTCGTATAATTCTCATTATAACCCTTTGAAGTAGGTAAAATTATTATCTTCATTTTAATGATGAAGAAATTGAGACACGTCTTGTGGTCTTGTGCTCATTAAAACTACCTGCCTGCCGGGCACTGTGGTGAAAGCCTGTAATCCCAGCAGCTCAGGAGGCTGAGGCAGGAGGATCCTGAGTTCAAAGCCAGCCTCAGCAAAAACTAGGTGCTAAGCAAATCAGTGAGACCCTGTCTCAACATAGAACTGGAGAAGTGTCGAATTGGTCTTGTGCAGCTGGGTTCAATCCCTGGTACCCATCCTGCCCAAAATAAACTTCCTGCCCTATATTAAGCACCTATGATCTACTGTGCTAATCACTTCATAGATATTATTAAAAACCTGTCAACCTGCYGTTGGGGCTCTAAAAACCGAAAAGATGATAGTATAATTTAAGACAAATGCAATATTTAACCAGCACTACTTTGTATTTTATTTTGAGACAGGGTCTCACTGCCTTGATAAGTTGCTGAGACTGGCTTTGAACTCGCAATCTTCCTGCTTCAGCCTCCCAAATTGCTGGGATTACAGTTGTGTGCCAATGTGCCCGGTCATAATTTCTAAATTATAGAAGAGTTTCAAGGTTGTAAAGCTGGTACAGAGAAGTCATGATTTTTAAAAAATATTTTTAAGTTGTAGATGGACACAATATCTTTATTTTTATTTATTTATTTATTTATTTATGTGGTGTTGAGGATGGAACCCAGGGCCTCATGCACGTTAGTTAGGCAAGTTCTCTACCACTGAGCTACAATCCCAGCCCCAAGAATTCATTATTTTTTTTTTTTTCTCTCTCTCTTGGTGCTGGGGATGGGACCCAGGATCACATGCTTGCTAGGAAGTCAATCCTTCTATCACTGAGCCACGCCCTCAGTCCAGATCACAGAATTTTTATCTCCTTAATGCACATTGATCACCTTCATGATTATAATGATTGTGATCTGATGGGATATGTTTTAAAGTAAATGCTGAGGTGACCACACAGAGCAGCTGCTCACTCAAAGTCCAGCTTCACCCCTGATTAACCTTGTTATGTCCCTCTGTCCCCTGTGCTTCAGTCCTCTTACCTGAAATAGGGCCCCCAAACACCCTTCCCCTGCCTCCCAGTGGGGTGGATGTGAGGCTCAGATAAGATGGCAAATACAACCAAAGGCCTTTGCAAACTGAAGTTCTGTGCCCTGGGGAGGCCACAGGCCCTTTTTCCTTCCACGCATTCTCCTGATGGTTATGATCCTTTCTGAGTGCCAGGACCAAGACCACCTGTCATTCAGATACTTGCTCTTCCTGGATTTAGGGCTATGCTGTCCCCAGAAGTGCCTGCCTTGTTTCAGCTCACCCAGCCCCTTGCCATCTGAACCAGCATTCTCCTTGGTGGCACAGACATCCTGTGCCGGGTGGCAGGTCTTGGCTTAATGTTCAGAAAGCAGAGGTCCACCAGGCCTCCCAAGTTCATAGAGATTTTTTTTCCACATAGACCTTCCCTAGATGGTGGGGCTAAACCATAAGTCTTCCCAAGAGATCCCCTTTTTGCTGGGTGTGATGGCACACCCCTGTAATCCCAGCAACTGTGGAGGATGAAGTAGGAGGATTGCAAGTGAGGCCAGTCTTAGCAATTTAGSGAGATCCTGTCTTAAAATAAAAATTAAAAATGAATGGCCTTGGGCTGGGGATGTGGCTCAAGCGGTAGCGGGCCCGCCTGGCGTGCGTGCGGCCCGGGTTCGATCCTCAGCACCACATACCAACAAAGATGTTGTGTCCGCCGAGAACTAAAAAATAAATATTAAAAATTCTTTCTCTCTCTCTCTCTCTCTCTCCTCTCTGTCTCTCTTTAAAAAAAAAAAAAATGAATGGCCTTGTGCAGTGTTGGATGCCTATAATTGCAGTGGCTTAGGAGGCTGAGGCAGGAGCATTGCAAGTTCAAGACCAGCCTCAGCCACTCAGAGAGGCCCTAAGCAACTTAATGAGACCCTGTCTCAAAATAAAAAATAATTTGTTCCCAGGTTTTGGCACCAAAAATAAATAAATAAACAAACAGGGCTGGGGCTGTAGTTAAGCACCCCTGGGTTCAAACCCTCATACAGAAATTAAAAAAAAAAATGACTGGGGGTATAGCTCAGTGGTAAAGTGCCCCTGATGATGTCAATCTCTAGTACCAAAAAAAAAAAAAAAAGAAAGAAAGAAAGAAAAAAAAAAGAAAGAGAGAGAGAGAGAGAGAGAGAGAGAGAGAGAGAGAGAGAGAGAGAAAAGAGAAGAGATCCTCTTTATCATCTTTATTGTGGTCTCCCTGTAGCAATTGACCAGAATAATACACTTTTATTTATTTTATTGTACTGGGGATTGAATCCACAGTGCTCTACCACTAATCTATAAACCCAGGAATTTTTATTTTTATTTTGAGACAGAGTCTCACTAAATTGCCCACACTGACAACCAATTTGCCATTCTCTTGTCTCAGCCTCTTGAATCACTGGGATTATAGGCAGATGCCACCAAGCCTGGCGGGAACATACTTTTGGGTGTTTGTCCCCAACACCAAGAATTTCCTGCTGCTCCTCCYCCTGAGGCCCTCCAGGGAAGGAGGCAGGTGCTGAGGCAGTTCCTTCCTCAAGTCTCCTTAGCCTTTTCCTGGGCTCTTAGGTAGAAAAATATCCAGTGAGTTTAGACACTTTAGGAACTTTTAAAGTCTTTGCCATTTGCTCATTTAATTACTAACTGGCAAGAGATGCATGGAGGCCAAGGTGCTAGGAACACCATTTGCCGGTAATCCCAGGTACTCTGGAGGCTGAAATCAGGAGGATTACAAATTTGAGGCCAGCCCGGGGCAATTTAGTGAAATACTGCCCAAAAGGCAAATTTATAAAAGAGCTGAAGGGCTGAGCTGGGCATGTACTTCAGTGGTAGAGAGCTTGCCCTGCATGAGTGAGCCCTGGGTTCAAGCCCCAGAAAGACAGAAAGATACACACACACACACACACACACACACACACACACACACACACAAGGCAAGGAGAAAGCTGGGTTTACTCAGACCTAGAGCCCCAAAGGCAGGAAACCTGTGTTCCTTCCTTCATTCAACAAACTTGTATCCAGCTCCTTTTGGTACTGGGCTTCCCCTCCCCCCATCATTACTAGAAAGAAAATTTGCATCAACCCAAGATAGACAGATGTAGTTCCTGCCTGTTCAGAATGAACTTTACAATGTGTATGTAGAACCATGTAAACAAGAAAACAAATATGCAAATCAATTTCAGCCAGCTCTAAGAGCTACCTGATCAGAATGAAATAGAAAAGTAGTGATGGAGAGGGGAGGTGGTTTGGTGGGGCAGTCCGGAAGAGCTTCTCTGGAAGGTGACCTTTTGGGAGAGAACTGAGTGGTGAGAAGTTTGTCATGCAGTGCTCTGGGAAAAGAATGTCCAGGTRGAAGGAACAGCCATGCAAGTCCAAACTACAAACAGCAAAGAGGAGGGAAGATTGGAATGGAGTCAGAGAGGGGAGAGGGCAGGAGATAYCTGAAGAGGAAGGCAGCATTAGCTCATTACAGGGTCTTGTAGACTCTCCTGTCAATCATTCATTCCTTTATTCACTTAACACATTTATGTTTAGTATGGGGGCTTGCACCCAGGAGCACTTAACCACTGAGCCACATCCCGAGCCCTTTTTATTTATTTATTTATTTTTAATTTTGAGATTGGGCCTCACTAAGTTGCTGAAGCTGGCCTTGAGCTTGCAGTTCTCCTGCTTCAGCTTCTGGAGACCCTGGGATTACAGGCATGTGCCACCATGTCTGGTTTAAGTCTTATTTATTGAGCGTCTACTTTGATCCTGTCCTCAGTCTAATACGTGGAGACAATTAGCMGATAAATAAATAAATATAAATACTAGGAACGGTAATATTAGGAAGCACCATTTTCAGATAATACCCATTTAACGGCAGAGGCAACCAAGACGTGCTCATGGAGTCGGGCTTCTTCCTCAGGGAGAGGATGTGTGCAGGGCCTGGGAACCCAGGCAGCCAGAGACCTGATGGCCTCTTCTCTGCGTTCCCCTCCCCTCCCCTCCGCTAAAGATGGCTGACAAAGACCTAGYTGGGTGGAAGGGAGGAAGGGCCAGTTAGAGGGTCCACAGCGGGGTGACCTGCAGAGGCATCGCAGCGCCCCAGTGGCACTGCGACTGACTGGAGGTRAGGGTGAAGCGGAGACTGCTTGCTGTGTGACTTCAGAGGGGGCCTTTCCCTCTCTGGGCCCCGCATGCAGATCTGTCTGGAGTGGGGTGGGGGGGCTGGAGAGGGAGGAGAGTTGGGTATCTGCCGTCCCCTTCGGGCTGGTTATCCCCGTCGGTGATTTAACAGGCCTTGGGGGACGAGAGGCGGCGCCCGCGGAGGAGGGGCGGAGGGAGGCTCCCGGAGTGATTTCAAATTTCCCTCGTCCGCTCCCCCCCGCGCCGCGGCCGGGCTCTGAGTGGCTGCGGCGGGGGCGGCCCCGGGTGGGGGCGGGGCGAGGGCCGGGCCGGGGCTACAAGGGGACTCGGCGCCGCCCCCTGCCCACCCTCAGCCGCAGCCCGGCCCGGCCCGCGCCGCTCCCTCGCAGCAGCCGCCCCCAGCTCCGCCGCCGCCTCGGCCCGCGTGGACGCCCCGGGCGCCCCCGACGACGGCACCGGCCCCCTGGCAGGCGGGGAGCGGGCGGCCGCGCCCGCCGGCACCGCGGGGGTTAAGCGGCCCAAGTAAACGTAGCTCGGCGATCGGCGCCGGAGATTCGCGAGCCCAGCGCCCGGCGCGGCCGCCCGCCGCCTCCCGCCCGCCGGTCCCGACCGCGGAGCGACCACCGAGCCGCGCCCGAGCCAGCCCCGCGGCAGGTGAGCGTCCCGCGGCCCCGGAGGCTCGCGACCCCGCGCGGACGGCTCGTGGGAGCGAGCTCGGGGCCCCGCACGGCGCGGGGACGCCCGGGACCTCCCGGGGAGGGATCCCGCCGCGCCGCCGACCTGGCCTGAGGGGTGGGGCGTGGGGAAGGGTCCCCTGACCCCGCGCGGGGTGGTGGGCCAGCGGGACACGGGAGCTGGCCTTACCAGGAGGGGACACACGTAGAGGGCTACCCTGGTACCCCGAGAGCCGGGAGGGAGAGTTCCGACCCCAGGGGGCGGCTGCAGCCTCTCTGGGGTCTAGAATCTAGGGAAGAGGTGCCCTCCCCGGGAGTGGACTCAGAAGGGACTTTACCCGGGCGGGGGTCCTTACCTGGACTTGTCTTAGGGGAGAGCCCGTCGGAGTCTGGGGAGGAGGAGGGAGTTGTGCTGTGGAGGTGGGCGTGGGTCCGGCTGGGGCATTCAGGAGAGGGGCCGTCCCGCTGCCTAAGGGCTAGGGTGGTGCTGGTGTGTCCAGGACCAAGGTGGGTCACGGTGTCCTCGCGGGTCCCGGGCGTGAGCCAGAGGGGCGTCCTCAGTCCTCCGGAGCTGAGCCACGACAGGCGATGCGCAGCCGCCGGGACGCGCGTTCCAGCGCACACCTGGTCCCCGAGCAGCCGCGGGGGGCGGTGCCTCCTGCCGCGCCGCCTGCCCCAGGGGCTCACTTTCCATTCTTAGCCTTCTTCCGGGGTGACTTTGGCCCCACTTTCCAAACTCGCACACTGAGGCCTCAACTTTCACCCCCCCCCCCACCAAGAAGCAAAGCTAAGTGCCCGTGTCATCGTTTGGGGGTAGTTTTTCTCCCCTATTGTTCTAGAGGAGAAAGTGGAAGGCAGCAAAGAGCAGAGGTTGAGCACCGAGAGAGAAAGTTACCATTGGGCGCAGGCTTTCCTGCTGAAGCCTCACCTGTGGCCGGAGTGCCGGGCCCTCAGCCTTCCTCCATCGCGGTCCTCTGCGCGGGGAGGCAGGCATGCAGAGCTCCTGCACCTTACCTTCTCCACCGCCCAGGCCCACAGGCTTGAGGGATGCATGGATTAAAGGGAATCCAGGGCAGACTACGAACTTTGAACTGTCCTCTCTGAGTTCAGAATGTTGGTTTGGGCAGACTGGCTAGCTCCTGCTGGACCCAGGACGTTGACCTTACTCAGCCCTCCATCAGGCTAGCCTTGGGTGCTTCTTTTTGGCCCTTGGGAACCTGGTAGCAGATTTGAGCCTCCTGCCCCCGTATTGAAATGTATATTTCTTTATTTAATCCCGGGATTTTGTGCATGCTAGGAAAAGGGGCCTACCACTGAGGTATACCCCCAGTCCTACCATTTGTTTTAGCATTGGTATACAGTAAGCACTCAATAAATGTTTGCTATAAGGCATTATTAACTAGCACACGGGTTAAGCAGGCTTCCCTAAGGAGCCATAGGTCTTGAGCACGTGTTCAGATCCAGCGAGGCCATCAACCTCTCTGTGCCTCAGCTTTTACATCTGTGAAATAGGAACACTCCAATCTCAGATTGTGTGAAGGTGAAGCCAGTTTCATGTGTAATTTAACCTCTTTAGTCCTCCAGTTTCCTTTGAGTTTTAGGTATGACATCCTTGGAAAAAGTCAGTACCTGGCAAAGGGTCAGCGCATGAGGGAGTTTAATGTTTGTGTTATTAACCAGTAACCCCTCTCTTTAGGGTGGTATGAGTGGAGAATTGGGGATGGAGGGAGGCACCCCTTGCCAGGCCTTTTCCTGTCTTCCTGGAGGTGCCCCCAAGCCTTTCTTGGCTCTGCAAGCTTTTCCAAATCATCATTGTCCATGGTGGGGGGAGTTGGCAGGAAGGCCAGCCTTTGTTCCCTTTTGAAAGAGCCATGGTTTTTTTATGTGTTGGGACCCTTTTTAACTCCGCCCCTTCCAAGCTTGGGGCCAACTGTGAAGGTGTAATTGCAGAGTCCATGAGATTTTTACCTTTCCTCCTGGGTTGGAGAGAGCTGAGACAAAGGAACCAGGTTGGGGGGCCAGCCACATCCTCTAAAGCCAKAGCTTAACCTCCAGCCCTTGCAAAGGTTGGGGGATGGGAAGAGAGTATTGGGAGCTGGGTGCTGGCGAGAGGAGGGAGGGGCAAGGGAGATGGGGTGGGGAAGGCTGCTTCCTTCTCTTCCTGCAGCCACGTGGGCCCTGTGGCACACAGAAGCCTGTCTCCTTCATCACTGCAGCCCCAGGGACCTRCTACAGTGGAGGTTTGACAAGTTTTTCCAGGAAAACTTACCTGGGGATTCCTTTGTCCCAGACAAGCTCCCACGCTGACCATACTACTTCCAGTTGCAGACATCCATTTTACCTGCATAGTCCTTGTTAAACCTGAAGCTCTCTGGGTGCAACCTTTATCAGTATCAGGGATCAGCTTTGTTTTTCTAAATTGTTAATGTTACATGCTGAAGGATGGAATTCTTCATTTATTTTGCAGGCCACTCTTCCTTTGCAAGGGGACTGGACTTCTTGATTTGGGGGAGGGGCTAATGCTCTCACTGGGTGCCTTTTGCAGGTGAAGGAACTGACTGAGGCCCTGGGGAATCCAGTTGCTTCTGCATCATGGTGATGACACTTTCCTACCTACCCCCAACCAGGAAAGGTTTTGTCTTTTCAGAGGATAGAAGCCTAATGCAGATGAGGCTGGCTGACTGGAGAAAGTGGCCTGATGCAGAAGGACCCCACTCAGCAAGGCTGTTAACTGTAAATTGCCTTTCATGAGAGCCCTTCCCATTTGGGAAGTGGATACAAATTTGCTCCTACCCAGCATGGCTGCCAGGAGGATTAAGTGGAATTCAAGGGCCTTTTAGTTTTTTTTTCCAGTACTGGGGATTGAAGCTAGTGATACTCCACTACTAAGGTAGCTCCTGGTTTCTCCCAGCCCCCTTTTTAATTTTGGGGACAAAGTCTTACAAAGTTGCTGAGGCTTTCCTACAATTTGGGCAATCCTCCTGCTTCAGCCTCCTGAGTAGCTAGGATTACAGGTGTGTGCCACCAGGCCCATCTTAGAGCTTGCTTTTAGTTGCTTATTCACTAAATTACTTGGGGAGGGGGGCTAAGTATTGTTAGTATTACTTAAAGCCCATTGTCTGTAGGGTCAGAAGCTCAGGGTTCAATAAACCTTGAGGGACCCGGGATCCCGCTCAGTGGCAGAGCACTTGCCTAATAGCATGGGGCCTTGAGTTCATTACCTCTGCCTCTACCTGTGTACCCCTCCCTCCATCAAGCAACATTCACTTTGTGTGTGTGTGCTGTTTGGTGCTGGGAATTGAACACAGTATCTTGAGCATGCTAGGCAAGGGCTGTACCTTAGTCACTGCCCCCCACCCCTGGATTTTTTGATATGAATAAAAATCATTTACAGTCTTTAGACATTTGGATGTGGCCTATAATCTCACCATCCCACCTGAAAGCCAGGACCCAGGTAAGCCTTGTCGAAGCAAAGGGACAGGTTGTAAGGAATGCAGAGTGGCAAGCGACTTAATCTCAACTGGATTCTAGGGCCTAGCAGTCACCATTGGGTTTGGCTTCAGGGCAGACAGGTCACTGTTAGAGGGAAGAGAGATTTAGTTGACAAGACCACTGGCTTCCCTCCCTTCTTACCTGCTTGGCTTGCGCCTGGCCTGGTCTCATTACTTCACTCACAGATTTTTTTCATTCATTCATTCCAACAGTGTGGGCTGTGACCTCTCCCCCTTCCTCACCCACTTTCACTGTTCTCCCCTTTCTGAGGATTGAACCCAGGGCCTCACATGGCCAGGCAAGTGCTCCACCCCTGAGCCACAACTCCCGCCCTGCTTGCTTTTTTTTTTTTTTAATAGTATTAGGAATTGAACTCAGGGATGCTCTCCCACTGAGCTACATCCCCAGCCCATTTTTTCTTTTATTATACAATTTTTTTTGTACCTGAAATTAAACTCAGGCACTTAACCAGTGAGCCACATCCCCAGCCCTATTTTTTGTATTTTATTTAGAGACAGGTCTCACTAAGTTGCTTGGGGCCTCAGGGATTACAGGCATGCGCCACCCTGCCTGGTCTTATTATACATATAACCTAGCTGTTTGCCTTTTATTCCTCCTACTCAAAACTAAATTTTCCATAAAATTGTCTTTTACAACCTTTGAAAATTGTGAGAGCAATGAGTAGCCTTTGGGACTGTGAGCAGGAAATTAGAAATGCAGTTCTCTTAAGACTGATAGCTGGGGGCTGGGGTTGTAACTCAGCTGAGCGCCTAGCACTAGCAGGACCCGGGTTCCATTCTCTGCACCACATAAAAATAAAGGCATTGTGTTGTGAACATTTAAAAAAAAAAAAAAGACTGATAGCTGGGTGTGGTGGCGCACACCTGTCATCCCAGCAATTGAGAGGCTGAAGTAGGAGGATTAGTTAAGAGGCCAGCCTCAGCAACTTAGTTTCAAATAACAAAGGCTGGGGATGTGGCTTAGTAGTTAAG